GAAGAAAGCAGGGGACTATTAAAATGGGTTCGTCCGTCTGTCTGTCCGTCCATCCATCTGTCTGTCCGTCCGTCTGTCTGTCTGTCCGTCACACTTTTTGGGACACAATAACTCTCCTTCTAATTGACCTAGAATGTTCAAACTTGGTGTAGTTGTTTATTAGGTGAATGCCTTGATGGAGTTTGAAGATGAACATTTTCTGCTTGGGGTAAGCAGAGATAAGCAATTTGATTGGTTGATGCTTTGGGGCACAATAACTTTAGTTCTAATTAAGTGAGAGTGATGAAACTTGGTGTATAGTTTCATTACATCAATACCTTGACTAAGTTCGATGATGAGAATTGTCTGCTTAGGCTAAGGAGCAATAAGCATTTTGTTTGGTCAAGACTTTGGAACATAACTCTGCTTCTAATTGAGGTAGAATGTTTAAACTCGATGTTGATGTTCGTCTTGACTGAGTTCAATGATTAACATATCGAGCTAAGCAGAGATAAGCAATTTCCTTGGTTAATGCTTTGGGAAAAGATAACTTTGATTCTATCTGATAGAGAGTGATGAAACTTAGTGTATAGTTGATAATCAGTTTGATTGCTCGATACTTTTGAAAAAAATAGATGTGCGATTAATTAATATGTGTAATCTATTTATTTGAGGATTTCGGCGGGGGGACATCAGCCGCACTGTTGGCTTGTTGAATCTTGTGAAATTGATATGCATCATTTGAATTAGTGAAACGAAGAAGCCTTTTGAATTTCAGCAATTTCTGTTAATTATGCCGTGAGTTATGGCCCTTGTTTCACTTTGTTGTACCTTGTGATGCTCTAACAACAAAAATTATTATCTTATCTGTATGAAATTGATATGTATCCTTTAAATTAGTAAAACGAACAAGCCTATTGAGTTTCAGCAAATTTCCGTTAATTATATCTAGAGTTATGACCCTTGTTTCACTTTGTTGAATCCTGTGAACGCTTGAACTACAAAAGTTATCACCTAATCTGTATGAAATTCATATGCATCATTTAAATCAGTGAAATAAAGAAGCCTATTGAATGTCAGCAACTTCCGTCAATTACTTCTAGATTTATTGCCCTTGTTTTACTTTGTTGAACCTTGTGAACGTTCGAGCGACAAAAGTTATCATCCGATCTGTATGAAATTTATATGCATTGTTTGAATTGGTAAAACGAAAAAGCCTGTCAAATTTCAACAATTGTTTTACTTTGTTGAACCTTGTGAACGTTCGAGCGACAAAAGTTGTCATCCGATCTGTATGAAATTTATATGAATTATTCTGTAGATTACTTCCAGAGTTATGGCCCTTGTCTTAGTTTTTAGAACCTTGTAAACCCTCAAACGACGAAAATTACAATGTCATCTGTATAAAATTGTCAATTACTTTCCCCTAATTACCTACAAAAGAATAAATATGCGACAACCCTTGTCAACCGCTCGGACAATTTAGCTGCTTTGGGCGTATGTTTTGTTGCCTGGCAACCTATCTTCCTACCGGCTATTGAAGATATGCATACGGTATGCAGAGTGCTATGACAGAAATTTTCAATGGACCTTGGCATTTCTTCATCGAAATTCAACTGTGAAGGATTCTTTTATTTGCACGTCAATGTGTACACAGTAGCTTGCTTTTTGTCCCATCTACACAACATGACACTGTACTTTGCCAGACCCATTGTCCCGCACTACTGACAGGGAGAAACCCACTGCAAAATCTCGAGAACTTTCTTCACCAACACCAGGATCAGTGTTTTTTTATCATAGTACTTAGTGAGAGGAATTATGGCTGATAACCTGACACCACAACATTTTAACACGACAATACAACATTTTTATGCGACATTTTTAATGTAGTGGTGTCGGGTGAAAAGGTCGTATTGTCGGGATAAAAATGAAAGGCGACACCACGACATCACGACATGATACCAATCAGCCTCCAAGCTCCATAGATAGAGAGTGATGAAACTTAAAGTGTATAGTTTGATTGCTCGATACTTTTGAAAAAAATAAATGTGCGATTAATTAATATGTGCATCTATTTATTTTGAGATTTCGGCGGGGGACATCAATCTGATTAAACACAGATCCAATTTCGTTTCGTTTTTATAGTTCAAAATTTCGATTTTACTTGTCTTTACTACACTTGGATCTGGAAGCGTTGTTATTAACTCGTGTTCTGCTTGAAATGAGGGGTCAGCCAATCAAATGGTCTGTCGACTCGAGCATTTGACCTTTTTTGCGCGGAACTGTGGGTAGACATTAGCGGCAATAAAATCAAAACAAAGCAAAAGTAGATAAAAAATACATGGCGGTCGCTAGTCGGTTAATCGAATGACTGACGTAATCGGGTCAAATGTCGCTTGCTTGGTACCTGGCGTCATAGAACGTGAACTCCCACTATAACTTGTTAGATCTACATGTAGTGTAGGCCATCGAAAGTATAAAAAACGAAACGAAATATAGCTCTATATTTTAATTAGATTGCTTTTGGCAGGTTCCTTATACCCTAAGGACAGCAACTATTGATTTTGGTGCATAATCCGACCCTCTTGGGCGGTGCCACACCTACTTCTTTGTTAATATTTGTCTGTAAATACTCTACACGTTGCAATTATTAGCAGAATTTTTTCCATTTCGGCATGATCCATCATCAGGTTGTACCTATTTATATTGGTCCATATCCAACCCCCAGGGCCAGAGCCACTCCCAGTTTTTGTGGGATTTTTCTACAGGCTGTAATTCGTTGGATCATCTTGGAACTTGGCATATACCGTTAGGATAGCAGGCCTTTCATTTTGAGGAGCTCACCACATCTGAAAAAAATTAGATATAAATATATTTTGATAAATTTGTGTTCCCCCTCGATTGTTTACAATCCTTTCAAATCTCGTAGCTTATTGATAAACTGGATTGTGCTAACAGCACATCTTTGACTGACCTGTTTTACTCAATGACTTGATGTGTAAGAAAGAAATATAGCACATGCTCACTTGATGGATGAGTAATATTAATATTCGTTATGAATCAAATACTATCAATGACAAAATAAATTTTTCTGCTTACTGATAAAGCAAAACTTACGAGATATCTCGTTATGAATCAAATGGTTTATTTCATATTATTTTCTCAGCAATACTAGCGACGACCTAATTAAATTTATCGGCTTGACATTGGAATAATTATTAAATTTTCAGAAAATGAAACATTTCACTGTTTCGTTGGCGTGAAGAGCCAAACTTTGTAATTTTTCAAGTGTTATTTTTTTTTTATCCATCTGTTGAAGTTATTGCATTTACTAAAAAATGCATTATGCGAAGAGCTAAATCTGCCTATTGCAGGTCTTTCTTTTAGGGTTGAAATTTTATATAAACTATTAGTTAGACATTTATTAACATGAAAAGACCATAATCAACTCCTGATGCTACCTTACGTGTTTTCCTTTAAGGGTGAAATATTATATAAACTATTAGGTAGACATTTATTAACATGAAAAGACCATAATTAACTCCTGATGCTACCTTACGTGACCAATTTTCATTGGATTTGAATCGGATCTGCTGTTCAACGCCCATTGATGATTAACCAGAAAAATGGATAATCCAGACCTTGTTAATTACCGTGAAAGCAGTAACAATGACAATCAAAGCTACAGTGATTTTAAAATAAGGTTTTATCGGCTTAGAGTGAAGCAATTTGACTGAAATTTTCAGCTTATTCCATTTACATTATCTATTATAGCGAAAATTGCCAGCTCTTTATCTAATCTTCTTTTGTATTCATTTTTTGTCCGTAAATAATCTACAGGTTGCAATTATTAACAGATTTTGTTCAAATTGCCTACCAGAATGCTGAAAATTTAGAAATTTGGTAACTTGAATTCATTGGATTAATCCTGACATAATTTTAGATTATGGTTAGATAACTTACGGTCAAAAACAGTAATTTAATTGTTAGTATCCTGACATTTAAGTTAGAAAACGAACGTGAGGTTTACATTAGAAAACTAACGTTCGATTTACGTTAGAAAACTAACAGTAAATAAACAGTTAAAATTCTGACATAAAATTAATGTTTGATTTAAGTCGGAAAACTAACGTTAGATTTACATTAGTAAACTAACGGTGAATTAACGGTTAGAATCTTGACATAAAACAAACGTTACATTTACATTAGAAAACTAACCATAAACTAACGGTTAGAACCTGATGTAAATTTTACGTTAGATTAATATTCGATTTATAACCAATAATACATGTCATTATTATGTCTGAATTCCAATTATTTATCAATTGTTACAATGTACACACACTGGTATGGTTATTTAATCCACAAGTATTCAAAGCGAAAAATATTGGTTAGAAAACCGTCATAAAATTTACGTTAGATTTACGTAATTTTCTGACATAAAACTAACAATAACCATTTTGTGACGTAAAACTAACCATAATCATTCTGACGTAAAAGTAAAATAAATTTAACCATAAAATTTTACCATTATTGGTGATAACCAAAATCTAACCAAAATGATATAAACTTAATGTAAATTTAACAATCAGTGTTAACTGTGTAGGTACACCTCTCAATATTTTCCATATTTCATTGCCTTACCAATTTCTTGTCCGTAATAATCCTGAAGAATTAACTGTCTTCGTTCATTCGATAGATACTGAAGCGAAGCATCCATAATAAGAATAGTTAATGAAGACCCCTTTGCACAAGTAAATTAATGAAATAAAATTGAACCATATGTTAGTCCCGAAATGATATAGTTTGTCTTCGTTCATTCGATAGATACTGAAGTGAAGCATCCATAATAAGAATAGTTAATGAAGACCCCTTTGCACAAGTGAATTAATGAAATAAAATTGAACCATATGTTAGTCCCGAAATGATATAGTTTGTGTCGAGCAGATGTTAAACCCTCTCGCTCTCTCTCCTCTTATATTGGTATTAGGTTTAAAATAATGATCTAATATTATTTTTAGGTGGCCAGGAACAAGAAGAATCTGGACCATTACCAGAAATTGAAGAAGTTCAAGAACAGCTAATTCTTATTCTTTCTTTACTAGAAGACTACCACATAAGAATAGATAAAGGCCAAATAAAAAAAAAGGACATGGAAAGTATTTTGGAAAAGCATGATGTATCCTGTCCTCTTATTAAGATACCTTTTCCAGAAAGTCCTTTGGATTTTATATTTCAACTGAGACAAAGGGAATTGAAGATTTATGAAGACTACATGAAATTTGTGCAATCATTGATACATATCTGTTCATACACTGAAGCAAGTATGTGTCTATGGGGTAGTATTTAACTCAATCGATATTCAAATTACTGTACAAAGTTCTGTTAACCTTATATTTTCTATTGAAAAAATAATGTTCTCTTTGATATTGTCACCAAAAACAGTAGTGTGCATTTAAGGAATCATGTTGCTGGCCGTAGTATAAGTACGTTGGTGGTAGTCTCGTGTGACCCTGATTCTCAATTCGCAAAATATAAAGAGTTGAGCTCTTGATTTCAGTTAGTTAAGTCTTTCAACTCCCCCTATAGTGAAAATCCATCTATATGACATTTTTAAATGTCTGATTTTTATATACCCGGTACCCTTATCTGATGTCCATGTTGTCCATAAATGCTTGTAGATGCACTAGATGTTCAAGTTATCATCCAATTATGCAGTCATTATGTTCATCACACGAAGATGCTTGTTCATTTTCAACAATTTGTTTATGTTAATGTTAGAACTTTTTAGTGTCTTATAAATGGTCACAAATAACCTATAAAAGAAATAAGCTTTATGGACAGTTTAGGTGATTTGCTGCTGTTTTGTGTATTTTGAATACTGAACGACTTCCAGGAAATTTTGTTTTATATTTTCTTGAATAGATAAGCCATTTAAATTGGGAATTTTCTTTAAAGTGATATCTCGTCATATTTCTTTCAGTTTATGATACTGAGGAATACAAAAGTTTGGTCTCTGGATTTGATTACTTGACAAAGAGTGATTCAGAAAAAGAATTGGCAGATATTTACAATATACCAAACATCCCAGACTATAGAGAAGTACAAATAGACATCTATACACCAATTATTAATCCATTTGAAATACCACGTCACATTCTAAAGATATTACCAAAACTTCATGAGCTGAAAGAAAGTCAACTGTTCGTGGAAATTTGGAAAAAGCATTCTGATAATTTAAAAACAGATTGTTTATTTGCTTTAATTGGAGAAATCTGGAGTCAGGCTATTGAGAACTGGGAACAGTTTCAGAAAGAGTTAAAAGCAGGTGACATATCTTTTGAAAGTATGGAGAATCATATTAAGGTGTTTGAAGGAAATTATGATAGGATAGAGGAGGAAATGATGATGGTATTAAAAGATAAAGAAATAGTAAAGAAGAGAATTAGTCAAATTGAGACATATCGTATTGTGAGTTCCTGCCAGAAAGCATCTGATGAATTGTTGAAGATAAAAAAATTCTTGGGCTTGACTGATACTTTTGAGACCTGTTCAAAGATCGCAAGATTAGTATGTATATAGTTTTTATTTCTCCATGTAAAATTTTGACTTTGATGCTATAATATAAATTATGCTGAAAACATCGTTTAGACCACAAAAGAAGAGCACATTAGCTGTGTTTACACTGAGCTGGCATTTATTACATGCCTTTTTTAGATTTCCATAAAGTTCTCCTTCGGGGCCCAATGAACTTAACCTGTTTAAAAAAAATTTAATGAACAATACCACAAAATTTTTAAAAATTCCAATTTAAGTGTAGATAAGAAAACAACTCAATGATTAGCAATATTAGTATTCAAAATTTTAGTCTGCCACCATGTGTTGAGTCTGGATATACTCTTACCTCTCAACGAAAAATTGAAAATGTCCCCCACCTTGCGAAGAAAGCAAAGGATTATTAAGGTAGATCCATCTGTCCATCAGACTTTTTGTGACACTATAACTATACACAATTACGGTATACGTATACATGTGTAAGCTGATACCATTGACTAATGAAGCTATCCCTTTTAGTAATGACAATTTTTATACGCCCACATTTTCATGTGGACGTATATTGTCGTCGCCCCTGTCCGTCCGGACGTCCGTCCACAATTTGTTTGTGGACTCTCTACAGGTCACAATTCTTGTCCGATTTTTACGAAACTTGAAATATAGGTTTATCCCCAAAAGATCTTGGCTGCTTTCGATATTGGCATGTATCGGATCGAACCTTCATGGATTATGGCCCCTGTTTGTACGAAAAATCATGTTTTTAGCTTGTGGACCCAATAGAGGTCACAATTTTTATCCGATTTTGTTGAAACTTGAAATGTAAGTTTATAACCCAAAAATCTCGGTTCCTTTCGATATTCGCGCATATCGGACTGTAACTTCCTGAATTATGGCCCCTGATTGTACGAAAAATCGCGTTTTTAGCTTGTGGACCCTATAGAGGTCATAATTTTTATCCGATTTAAAAAAAAAGTTTTATTATATAGGCGAGTCAAACTAACATTTGACATAGAACAAATTGCAACAAAAGGTTTTTTGATTTCTATTGACTCATTATGATGTCCTAAGTAAGGAAAAGAAAGTTTACCAAAATCGGATTCCAAATAAGGCCAGGGGGCGTGGCCAAATCCAAGATGGCGGTTGTCGATCAAAAATTGCAAATATCTCTAAAGCTATTTGATTTAGACACCATAAATGTATTGCGGACAGATAGGAAGTTGGTATCAGCTAGTCCAAAAATTGTGATGTTATGTCTCTATGACGTCATGACGTTGCTGTGACGTCACAACAGCATACCAGACGTCGCATTTCTTCCAAAATTAGTTCATTTACGCATCTGAACAGCAGAAACGAATTCTGATGCAGAGAAGATTGTGTCCCCATTATGTTGGGTTGATAAAGAAGAACAATATGTTACAAGTACGGAGAAGGGGGCTAAAAGAACTACTGCTGGATTACCGATATGTGATACTATTAGAGTAGCTGCAGGAACACGGATTCATTTCAATTGTTGAAGTAATGAAATGAAATGAGGTTATACATCCTATTGTTCTGCTCCGATTTGGCTTCCTTAGTGTACTATGAGGGAAAATTTGCCCTGCAATGGCGCAACAGCCTTCTCGTATATCGAATTTCATCCGCCAAGAGGTCTTTTACTGGAGAAGTAGTGCATCAAAGGGTGAATGGGTGGGGCTGATAAATTTTGACATTTGGCCCAAAAATCATCAGAAAGATTTATATTTTGACACCGGTTTTGTAGATGTACCCGAGATATGTTACAAAACCAACTTTCGCGGTAATGTGAACAGCACCCCCTGGCGATGTCCCCATAGCATTACTTTATATGCGGACAGATAGGAACTCGATACCAGAGAGTCCAAAAAGGTGAAAATCAGTCTGCCCTGTCCATGGAACATTCAATGTACTTCCACAGTACAAGCACAAAATGGGTATCAAACATTGCGTCGCTGAGCTCCTTAATGTTGCTCCTTCATGGCCTGCGACAGCAAGATCCAGGCCCTGGGACAAGCAACTCGGCGAAAGGCTTTGAAAGACACATAGTCAGCGTCACTTGACGTATATCTTGGGTAACTGGGGGTCACTCTGCTAAAGCTTATTGGTGGGAAAAGGGTCCCCAATTTGCAAAAAAGTCGAAAAACCTCGAAATTTTTAGCACCTAATAAAACCAAGACGAAAGTAGAAGTTTCGCTTTCAGGTTCGTTCTTAATGATCGGATACCAGTCAGCCGAACTAGAGCGATCATTCATTCATTGTAGCGTTCTACAGACCCGGACTTGGCCCGGATACCCTGACGATGACGATATCATCAAACGGATCGAGAATGGGCCCGGCTCCAGGGCACTAAGGCTGGCGCAGGTGATTTATAGTTTTAAATTTACCAATTTTTCCAAAAAAGTAGAACTGACAGAATCCGATTCTAATCTTCCCCATGGAACTAGATACCTACATTCAGAAAAGTTACCGGTTTTCTTCTGCTTTACGATCAAGTAACAGTGTGTTTTTTTTATTACTTTATACCAACAAATGTATTTTTTTAAACATTACCATTACGCGGCATACCTCCGGGACCCTGGACAAATGTCGCAGTTGCCCCCCCCCCCTCTCTTACGGGCCCTGCTTTATTTCCATTGCAAGGCTTAACCTGGTGTTTGACTACCGGACTAGTACCATTAGCCTGGCTCATCAGGACAAATACATCCCAACAGACTTTCAGCTAGAGCCCGTGGCAAAACGTAAAATGTCGGGTAGACCAGTTTTCATCTTTTTGAACTCTGTGGTATTGACTTCCTGTCTGTCCACATATACGGGGCCCCCAAAACGTAATTCTTGAAGTGATGCTTTTAGGAACACTGCCAGGGGGCGCTGGTCGCATTACAGCCAAATTTTTTTTTTGTAACACATCTGGAATACGCCTGTGTCAAAATATAAATCCTTATGATGATTTTGGGGATTAACCTACTTCTGAGTGGCCCAAATGTCAAAACTGGTCAGCCCCGCCCATTCAACCTTTAATGCACTTCTCCAGTAACAGAACCCTTTGCAGTTGGAATTCGATATAAGAGTGCCTTTGCGCCACTGCATGGCAAAACTCCCCAGTTGGAGCAGAACAGTAGGACGTATATGTATCACCCCATTTCATTTCATTTCTTTTTATTGAGGTAGGCTATTTTTGTCGACAATTGAAATGAATCGTGTTCCTACGGCTACTGTAATAGTATCACCTTTCGGCAATGCAGCAATATTCATATACTTTTAGCTTCCTTCTACGTTATTGTAACACATTGTTCTTGTTTATCAACCCATAATGGGCATACCCTCTTCTCTGAATCAGCATTCGTTTTTACTGTTAACATGCATAAATGGACTAATTTTGGAAGAAATGCGACGTCTGATGTGCCGTTGTGACGTCACAGTAACGTCATGACGTCGTAGAGACATAACGTCACCATTTTTGGACTCGTGGTACCGACTTCCTATCCTAGCAATATCGCTAAATGCCTGCCGCGCGAACTCGCGAGAAAACACGAGAGAAGCCAATAGCGATATTACTCAATGTCTTCGCTAATTAGCTATAATCACCCGTTTTCATCGTTCCGTTTTGTGTCCTGAATTTACCAAAAACTGCTAAAATAAACTTTTGTTTGACAAGATAAGTCATTAACTATAATTTCCGTTGCATATATGTATACATTTTATTTTAAACAACTTTGTAATTACCATCTTCAAAGTACACATAGACTGCATCTCCAAAACAAAGACGTCGCCATTGTTTGTTGTTATATGAACAATCGAAAACATGCGTCGGGATTTTTGCTATCAATCAAAATCTATTTATTATTTCATATTTTTCTTAAATAATTATGATACACGTGAATCTAAGGCATTGTTTGGAATAAAAATCTTCAATTTTTAAAAAAGTGAAATATAATTAATTACTTCCTAAAAACAACGAAAATAACACTTTAGACAATTTTATGAAAAAATACGTGATTTTATTTTTGCTTTCAATCAGTGAAACATTTATTTTGGGTATTATTGATCCATTTCTCCATAAACTTTGATATCTTATCTACTGTACTGGGCAAAATTCTTATTTTTAAAACAAACATTAATATGTTTACAAAATTATTTTGTTTTGTGATATTTTCAAGTACCAATGCATGTACTGTTCAACAATCATGAATAAACCTGTATTTGATTTGACCCAAATTACCCCACAGTTTTGCCCAGTTTCTTTAGATAGAAAAAGTGAGAAATTTTGTTTAAAATAAGTTTAATTTTATTGGCATATTATTCAATAAAATATAAACATCCGACGGCTCGCAGATTTATTTATAGGTGTTGTAAGCCATTATACTCATAATGGAGCAGTACGCATGCCAGGTAACTACAGACACCGCGAAGGGACATAACTCGTTAACAACTTTCGTTTGGTCGTGATTGACACGTCTCAAATTACCGTGTCTTGTCTCAAATTACAGCGCGGCACACATCTCTGGTTAGGTTATTAAGCTGTTGCCAGTCCATGTATTATAAGGTCCATGGTATGTATAGAAAGTGGTTAGAAATTATACAGTTGTCATTAATTAGCAAGTGTGTAACTAGCTGTAAAAAATGTGACTATTTATAACACCCATCACTTCTGAATACACAAACCTAACCAATAGTGGTGTATATCATTCAATAGTCACAGTTTTAACCCTTTCATTGCGTATACCTGGTAGTACTGGGTATTATAAAATGTCGGTAAAATACCCGTACCCGGTATTACTGTGTACTCAGTAAAGCTCTCGCTAAAATAAGTACCGTAACTGCAAGTGCCATCTATTGTATTTTTGTCCCCCGCCTTTCGAAGAAAGCAGGGGACTATTAAAATGGGTTCGTCCGTCTGTCTGTCTGTCCGTCCGTCCGTCCGTCTGTCTGTCCGTCACACTTTTTGGGACACAATAACTCTCTTCCTAATTGAGCTAGAATATTCAAACTTGGTGTATGTGTTTATTAGGTCAATGCCTTGATGGAGTTCGAAGATGAGCATTTTCCGCTTAGGGTAAGCAGAGATAAGCAATTTGATTGGTTGATGCTTTGGGACACGATAACTCTCTTCCTAATTGGGCTAGAATGTTCAAACTTGGTGTATGTGTTGATTAGGTCAATGCCTTGATGGAGTTCGAAGATGAGCATTTTCCGCTTAGGGTAAGCAGAGATAAGCAATTTGATTGGTTGATGCTTTGGGACACGATAACTTTTAATTGAGCTAGAATGTTCAAACTTGGTGTATGTGTTTATTAGGTCAATGCCTTGTTTATTTTGATTCTATCTGATAGAGAGTGATGAAACTTAATGTATACTTAATAATCAGTTTGATTGCTGGATACTTTTGAAAAAGATAAACATGCAATTAATTAATATATGTCATCTATTTATTTCGGGATTTCAGCGGGGGACATCAGCCTCACTGTTGGCTTGTCTATACACTAGAACATATTTCCATGTGTTTCAAAGCGGCAAACCGTAAAATGGCGGAGTGCATAGTGACAACCTAAAGAGGTCACAATTTTTATACGTCCACATGAAAGTATATTGTTGTCGCCCCTGTCCGTCCGTCCAGCCACAATTGTTTGTGAACAGTCTACAGATCACAATTTTTGTCTGATTTCAATGAAACTTGAAATATAAGTTTATCACCCAAAGATCTCGGTTCCTTTCGATATTGGCATGCATCGAACTGTAACTTCATGGATTATGGCCCCTGATTGTACGAAAAATCACGTTTTTAGCTTGTGAACACTGTAGAGGTCACAATTTTTATCCGATTTGATTCCTTTCGATATTCGCGCATATCGGACTGTAACTTCCTGAATTATTGCCCATAATTGTACGAAAAATCGCGTTTTTAGCTTGTGGACCCTATTGAGGTCACAATTTCTATCCGATTTAAAAAAAGTATTATTATATTACCGTTACACCCTAGGGACGGCTGAGTTCGAATTTCGTTCCCAAATAGCGTAAAAATATGGTATATCAAGGTTATACGTTTTTAGCTTGTGAACACTGTAGATGTCACAAGTTTTTATCCGATTTTGTTGAAACTTGAAATAGCGCATATGGAATTGTAATTTTCTGAATTATGGCCCTTGATTGTACGAAAACTCACTTTCTTTTTTGCTTGTTCTCTATCCATCTCTCGAAAATGTGGGCGTATCCTGCCTGGCAGCCGCTGGTTATCTGATTTTGTTGATACTTGAAATGTAAGTTTATAACCCAAAGATCTTGGTTCCTTTCGATATTTGCGCATATCGAATTGTAATTTCCTGAATTATGGCCCTTGATTGTAGGAAAAATCTCTTTTGTTTTAGCTTGTTTTCTATCCATCTCTCGAAAATGTGGGCATATCCTGCCTGGCAGCCGCTGGTTACTTTTGTATTCAATAATATTCATACTTTTTAGTGAAGAGCATTGAATTATTTTTATTTTATCAAAAAAGTGTGTGTCAAAAACAAATTTTACTCTGAACAGATTTTTTCATCTGACGGTTATTTTATTCTTGGAACACTTCTTCATTCTCAAAACACTTCCAATAAATTTGTTGGCCTTACAGCATAATGTACCAGTAGTTATCTATATATAACTAATGATAATTTCAGGCTACCAATAATAGAACATCAATGAAAGAAATAAACCAATCTGTTTTGCAAGCTTTGGGCCAATTGAAGGAAATTAAAAAAAATGAAATCAAATGTTTAGAAGATTTCAGAAAAGCAGAACCAATGATAAAATGGCTACAAGAAACCATGACAGGTAAGAAGATATCAGTTGCTTGAATGTGTAATATATATTGTAAATGTAACTTTAATTATTTGATCTTGGTAAAACAAACTTCTCCAAAAATACCGCAAGGGTGTTATACTTTTTCTAGACCATTTATTTTCAAATTTGTTGTACGTTTAAAAGGTAAAACCTTCCTCTTTGTGGCTGTTATTGAATGTCTTATACTCTTTCTCATGATTACTGAGATCATTAAAAAATCAAAACCTGTATGTGCACTACTTAAAATGGCTAGGTCAAAATACAATAGTTTTTATATGTTGATATGTTTTATAGATAAAGTAAGTGTTCAGATATAACTGATTTTGTGTTTGACTGTCAGCACAAATGGAAAAATCTATATGGAAATTAGTAAACAAACGAAGTCTAGAAACAGCAATCAAATTAGAGAAAACACATTACTCACTTTACTTTGCGAGAAATATATTGGTTCCTGTACAACTGACCAGTTATTACAATTCTACTTTGGAAAGATAAAGAATGTTGGAACTATAGATGCCTTTCCATTATATTTATTTATTTTATTTTGAGTAATGTTGATGTTATAGCCATGTGCAATGTGAAAGACTATATATCTATATTTTGAAATAAAAGTGTTTCAAATGAACCAAGAACTAAAATTTCAATATTCAAATTGGTCCTTCATTTTAGCAACTAGTTATTTTACTTTGATAAATTTTGGATATACATTTGGACAGTAATAGTTTACGATAACACCAGTGTCACTCGATACAGGATTGCAATGGATTTGAAAATCATTTGTCTTATACACCGCTTTGATAATTGATTAGATACATATACTATGATTTGACTTACACCCCTAACTATAGAATGTTTCATTTTGCAGAGGGTTTGAAGGAGTTAAAGGTGTTTGTAGATCTGGCCTTTATATCAGCTGGTGAAGGTGACCTGGATATTGATAAAGTGAATTGTTTTCATGCAGTAACATCAGCCTTTGCACCATTAATATTTGATTTGAAACAAGATAGCAAATTTGATGAAGTAATGAATAAATGTAAACTTGTTTGGAAAGAACTTCAGAATGATAAAAATCTTACCAATAAATTAGTAAGTTCATGAATTCCTCATTTGTTAATATACTCTTCAAAAAAAGTAGGGTATATTGAAATGCAAATACCTATGCAGGTTGTGATATGATAAATAGTCATGGACACTTGACATGCTTTGAGAGTATGTTCACAGATGAAGAACTTGTCGCCCCAACAGAACCACTGAAAGTGAAAATATATTTTATAACTAAATAAATACTAGAATTGAGGTTGTTTATATTAATTAAAAATACATCAATTTCAGCATGATACAAATAATCAGCTAGATTGGTTTAAGGCTGTCAGACAGTCTCATGGTTCTGTTGAAGTAACATCTTTAAAACAGGCAGAAATGATAGTAGCTCAAGGAATATATAAAATTGGTTTCCCCAAAGATAAGACAAGCAAAACACAACTGGTGAGACTTTTTATTTGCTCATTTATAGGCTCATATGTTAAAGTGGTTGCTTATTGCCATCATCCCTGTCTGTCTATTCACACTTGGTATACACTGAGAACTACTAAGTGGTTAATCTGTGCACAGCCCTTATAGAAAATTATGTCTTGGGCGTTATCTATACGTCTATCGAAAGAAAATTAATTTTCTGACTATTACTCGGTATTACCGCGTTAAAACTGTAAATAAGGTGTGTTAATTAACGATAACGAGGGTGAAAACCTGTCTGAGAGTTGAGTTAATTAACGCTAGGGGTGAAAAACTGTGTGACAGTGCATTTTCAGTAGAGGTGTGTTAATTAACCGACCGGTAAAAAATGAATGTCAATGTTGTGTATTGTTTAATTGGCGTGTTTTCTCACAAGTTGCGATAACTGCATGAAAAGGAGTATAATCAAGGACCAACAGGCTTTATCTGACATGTACATGTTAAATCAAAATTTGGGAAGTAAAACTGTTTTACCGTGCGATTTATCATTCGACCGTGTGTTTTACGTAGGTCTTTGTATAATTAAAGACAGGTCTTTAGATAGGCGTGTGTGCTCGCTATGATCTACGTTTAACCCTTTTGTATTGCGTACCATAAGTTGCATTTAATGAAATAAAAATATGGACCTTAATCTATCGTATACAGAAAGGCAAATATAATGCTCGCTATGATCTACGTTTAACCCTTTTGTATTGCGTACCATAAGTTGCATTTAATGAAATAAAAATATGGACCTTAATCTATCGTATACGGAAAGGCAAATATAATGTTGTCATTTATAAATACCGACCAGTCAGCGCCCAATTTGAATATCCACGGGATTATAGAGAGTAAATCCAGCAAAAACAACCGAACTATATTTCTGCTTTATTACTAAAAAGACGCGCACTCACCGTTTGACATTTATTAAATTTATAAAAACGTTCCACGATGCGTAAATTGTGCATCTTACCTTCAATCCATAAAACAGAAATCTCCATATTGATAAATAATACGGCACAACCAACCGATCAGTGGTAATTTCCACACAAATGATATATTTAAACTAAAATTACTTTAGCTTTTCACTAAATTTACATCGCATACAATCCAACGATCCGCATTCCAGAACTTGTAACTTATAATAGCCGTTTTTATGCAATTACAGAATTGTCCCGTGATCTAACATACCAAAGAAGAACATACGCCCGATATGACACGTAATCATTTTTTGAGACATGTCTTCTATTGTTGCAACTATACTTGGTGTTTATACTGCGTACCATATAGTCACGCTACTTATAAAGTTGCATTTAATGAAATAAAAATATTGACCATAATCTATCGCACGAAATGCAATGTCGTCATTTATAAATATCGAACAGGTAGCCCCCAATTTAAATATCCCCGTGTATGTAGCAATTGCCGTATGTAAATATACTGATTCTCGTAAATATAAATATTCTCGTCTTCTGACAAGTTATTATTTGTTTCTTGATCATATCGCTTACCCTGTTTGTGTATTGTATGTTTTTATAATAGCTAGCAAATAATTTATGATATCTGAATATTTTCTGAAAGAACATATAGCTCGTTATTAGAGGTTAGTTTTTAATAGGCCATTTTTTGGGGATAGTCGGATATCAATCACAGATATCAAATATAAATCACATTAATTAGATGAACAGTCCAACGCAGCTTTGAAATGAAATGAAATGAAATGGGGTTTATCGTCCTACTGTTCTGCTCCGAACTGGGCTAATGAAGACGGGCATACGCCATACAGTGTGCTATGAGGGAAATTGTGCCCGGACAGCTGCACTACAGCCTATTCTTATATCGAATACCAACTGCTAAGGGATCTTTTAAGTGCACGCCAATGTGTACACGAGACCTTGGTTTTTCTTCCCATCCGAACGACTATAACGAGCTATTTGTTCTTTCAGAAAGTATTCAAATATCATAAATTATTTGCTAGCTATTATAAAAACGTACAATACAAAAACAGGGTAGGCGATATGATCAACGCTTTCTGAAGAGCTACCAATATATGAGAATTTTCAACAAAAAAATTGACAAATTTTATAGTTTAATATCAGTATCTTCTCAAATAAAGCAACCGAACAGTTTTCCAAAACGTGCAAATAAGCTTGTGCACGCCTTTACATGTATAAATAGAATTGACAGCTGTCCTTGTCAGATCCTCCGTCCTGCATCACTGACAAAGGAGAATCACGCAGGGATATCCGGATGAACTTTCTCGGCCAATGCAGGGATCGAACACCCAATCTCCAGGCTAGCGAGCCAGGGTCTTACCCTCTTAGCCATCGTGACCCCCAACGAACGCAGCTTTGAAACAAACAGCATTGTAATTTTATATTTGATTAAACTTCACTTTTCATTTAAGACTTTAGCCAATTACGATTCCAACTGGTACGGAGAAGTAATTCAAATTTATTAATATCATCGGAGAGATGTTTTGCAAATAATGGGGACAAAGTAATATTGATATTATTAATCGAAATTTTGTTACTATATATTATTATATAGTGCGCCCTTCCATGTAACTTACTTAGTGACACTTTACAAAGTGACAATTTAATCTTTAAAAAATCAAGATTATGGACATGTAGCGTTGGTTAAAAGCCTGTTTAAATAACTGTGTTTTAAATAGTTTTTTTAAAAAGAATATAGATATGTACAACATCTTAAACTAAATGGTAGATTATTCCATAAAACAGATACGCCTGTATCAAGAGATAGTTTGTTACTGGTTGCAGTAAATTTTACTATACACGTTTCTATGTATTCATTCTATTTACATGCCATAAAAAGTTTTAACCATAAATTACCTTATTTTTCAGTTTGCATGATTTTTTTAAGTTAGCAAAACAGTCAATTAATAAATCTATAAACAAAATTAACAACCGTAATTCAGACATCAACTTCTAATACACATTTTGGTTGAAATAAATAATCCACGTGTAGCTTGTTAATTAGTTTATTACTTTATGACCCCAATCAAGTATCAAAAAACCACATTTTTTACGCAACACCTAGAGGTCAACGTTTTCAAACATTCTGATCAATAACCATAACAAAAAGATGCAATACTTTCCCCCAGTTTGACTGTATATACAGGATACTAGTGCTCTAATATTGTATTTTAAAAAAACGATTGGAAATGTAGACGGTGTTATTGATGAACTATTTAAATGTTCACATCATATCCCAAGTAATTATATCGTCTAGTTCTATCGGGAGCAGATCCATCGTTCAGTAATTATAAGTTTATGGAACTTTAAAATCTTTGCTGAATCCACGAGACAGATACAATACCATGCTGTTTTTTATTTTCCATTTCGGCGCCAACGATTCGACCTTCAATGCATACCATCAATCAAAGGTCAATATGTGAACTTTCGCGTTTAATTAAATGAAACAATGTCTAAAATGATTATAAAATAAACCTGATAATGCTTTCTGATGTGGCTGGGTTATTTTAGGTGCCAGTCGTAAGAATAAGAAGACAGTATATTTACATACGGCAAATTTGACTTATTGGCTATATATACCCGGGGATATTCAAATTGGGGTCTACCTGTTCGATATTTATAAATGACAACATTGCATTTCGTGCGATAGATTATGGTCAATATTTTTATTTTATTAAATGCAACTTTATCTATAAGTAGCATGACTATATGGTACGCATAGTATAAACGCTAGGTATAGTCGAAAGAATAGAAGACAAGTTGTAAGACTTTGGTCCTTAAGACAATATTAATAATAAAGTTGAAGAAACTATTTAACCCTTTTTGTCATTTTGTAGCCATATGGCTCCTACAACTTATCAACCCGCCCACCAACAAAATATTTTGTTGATGAATTTTGTGACCAAATACGTACAATGTAGCCACAAGACACTATGCATGCGCACTGATATCTTCCTCTCCAGGCTGACGTCAATACAGCGTGGTAAGCCTAATGCCAGGCCATCTTGCCGTCACTGATTTTAACGAAATTGACTCATATGTTTTGCTGCCAGTCCTTCTGATTTCAAGGTGAGTAATACTTCCATAAGTAAGTTAATTTTACCTGCTTCAATAACGTATACAACATTATAAAGTGTGGCCTATGTATTTTGTGCACTGGATAGAATTATTTATATGTAGCCATATGGCAACAGTGTAACTTATAGTTATGTATAGACTGTAACATTTGGCACCATTGTGCAACACAGTACTGTAAAGTACTATACAGTTTTATAAGATATTAAATAGTAAATAACATGTTTTTTACATTTTCAGAATTGGATCATGTCATTTGCTGCTCACACCTTTTATGGAAGACGCGCTAAGGCGGTAGTGCCTGTTTCTGGTGACATATCTGAGGACGAAGATGTCACAGATAGTGAGGATGAATTTGAACCTGAATCAGCCAATGAGGATACTTCATCTGATGACGATGGTGATAATAATGATGATGAAGTAGAACATGATGGTGATAATAATGATGATGAAGTAGAACATGATGGTGATAAATGTGATGAACCAACTACTTCCACTTCCAAAAAATCAACAAAGGCGGCAAAAAACACTTATAAGTGGCGAAAAGTAGAACTGGAGGCTGTTCCAGAACCAAGAGTAGCTAACTTCACTCATCCTGATGATATGGAAACACCATATCAGTATTTCCAGAAGCTTTTTGATGGAGGTCTCATTGATATGATAGTACATGAGACTAATTTATATTCTACGCAAACTACTGGCAAAAGTATCAATACAAACAATGCTGAAATTAAAACTTTCATTGGTATATTGGTTCGTATGGGAGTCATGCAGGTACCAGCATATCGGGACTATTGGTCGAATGGTTGTCGAATTTCAAGCGTGGCTGATCACATGACCATGAGGCGTTTTGAACAGTTGAGAAGATATATTCATTTCTGTAACAATGACACATTAGATAATGCAGATAGGTTTGCTAAAGTG